CTCTTAAGCAGACAGAAAATGCATTAACCTCAGGGCCTTTGCACTTGCTCTCCCTGAAATGGTCTTCCCAACAGCAGCACTTTTCTCTGCTGTTTCACCCTATTCAGTTTCTATTCCCTTAAAAATTTTCACTTTTCTGGATAACGTATCACCACCTGATATCCTCTATTTGCTTCTTTATTTTCTTTTTTCCTCCCCTTGAAGTTTAATCATCAAAAACGATGGTACTTTTTTTCTGTTTGCTGTTGCATCCCCAGCACACTGAAGTGGATAAAGATTTTAGGGTCTGAAGTTAAGTGCCCTATTTAAGAAAAAAGAATAGAAAAATTACAAAATGAAATAGAAGTGAAACTTAATATTTATTTATTTGGAATGCAAAAAAATTTACAAGATTTAAAATGCTGGCAAATACCACAAGCATTATAAAATCTGAAAAACAAAAGACTGCCTTTTTTTTACTTTATTGCCTGACCCACCTCTATAATTCTTCCCTCCACAGTTTTTGGTGACATACTCTTTGACTGCCTCTTCAAATTATAATAATTTTGTAATATAATCTACAGAGAGAATAGGAAAATAATTTTGTTCTATCTCTAGCATAGCTGAACAAGTTTTTAAAAATATATTGATTAGAAAAACCTTTTAATTTCAACATTATTGCTAAATCTCTTACACATTTTTAAATTGTTGTTGAATATGAAAACCCTTATAAGGTTCTTTAGCATATGAACCATAACATTTGGAAGAATATTCCACAGACTAGCTTCTGGCTCTGTACATTTCTAGCCTGGTTTTTCCAACACCACACACAACACCGGGTGCCTCAGGGTATGAATATTGCATTACAACCTTGAGCTCTGCCCCTCCTTTTCAACAGTAGGTAAGTGAGTTGCACAATGGACAGTACAAATACTCTGGGATCCATTTCTACACGAGAAGACTACAGTAGCCTAACTAAAACTGAAGTGACTGCAAGTCATATACATAGGTTCCAGTCAGCCTAGCCTAAGTGTGTCCTAAGTCTACTTCCCAAGGGAAGTTGGGACAGACATAATTAGGTCAGCAGTCATAACTATTTGCAATTAAAACATTTTGCTTCAGACAGGGCATCTGGGTGGCTCAGTCGGTTGAGCATCCAACTCTTCATTTCAGCTCAGGTCATGATCTTACAGTTCATGGGATCAAGCCCCACTCTTGGCTCTGCTCACGGTGCAGAGCCTTCTTCAGATTCTCTCTCTCCCTCTCTCTGTCTCTCTCTGCCTCCCTGGCTTGTGTGTACCCATGCTCTCTCTCCCTCAAAATAAATAAATTAAATAAATAAATAAATAAACAACCAACCTTTTGCTTTTGCAAACTTATAAAAGCATGTGACTATGTGAACAATTTGCTAGGGATCCATATAAGTAAGGGACCCTGACTTTCAACCTTTTTTAGCTTGTTAGTAAATCAGCTTCCTCCAGCACCTAATGGTACTTGTGGGTACAAAGTAGACACTCAAAAAATATTTGTTGAGTGAATGAATGAACAAAAGTTACTCCTTTGTGACTCCCCATAACATTGTTAAATCAGAGTGCCTTTCAAATTAAATTGGACCCATTAACTACAGGTTACATTTATCATATTAAAACTCTACTGTATCTCTGATGTGATATAGGATCTATTCTTAATACAAAATATGTCAAGAAGATTTATTCATTACAAGCACGGATATATTGACCCTTTCCCTTTTCTTTCTGTGGGGAAATTCACAATTTCTGCATAATTTTATAGCCCTGTCAAGCACATTTTCTCAGGAGTATGCCCTAAGCAGAGCTATTATTGGAATGTCTTCCTACTAAAATTATGGAACAACTTTCCTCAGTGTCTATGTTATATTTGCCTTTTTATCAAGGACAAATTCTACTCTGTGATCTTTATTTTTTTTTTTTTATTTTTGTGACTCCCAGGGAAGAGTTGTCTAAAATTTAAAAATGATACTACAACTAGAAAGACCTGAAAACTGAAGGCCCATGATTTCCAGGATGGAGTAGAACTATAGATTTAAGTTTTAATTTAACTGTCTAATATGAAAACAGTTATAGTGCTAGAAAGGAAACTGGTGGGTCAGATAAGAACTCTTGTCCTGAACGAATTTGCTTAGGCTTCCCAGCCTTTGGTATGCTGTCTTCATTCTCTTGTCCAGGGTTAGCAAAGCTGTCTCTGGTAATCAACAAAGTACCTATAAAACCAAATGATCTCTTGTCAAACCTGACCTTTATGTACCGTTGCAAAACCATGTGCCATTTCTGGATCTAGAATCTTCCCAAGAATGCTAGAAGCAGAAGTCTTCTTGCAAATGCTGAATTTTTCCACTTGACATTCAGATACTGATAGCTGAGAGAAGAGAAAAAGCTAGGACGCAAATTTTGGTATATTAACAACAAAGTTGTGGGCTTACTGCTGAGCTTTCTTCCACATGCTTAATTCAGGAGAATGGAATCCTGTGATGCCATGATAGAAAAAGTAGACTCCCACTGGACAAATCAACTGTGAGTCAAACACAGGCAATACTTCCCACAGGGACCTGGTTGTATCTTTTTAAGTGTTTCACTTTTTTAAAATTTCAAATTAATCTCGGGACCTAATTGGAACATACACAGTGGTTAGTATGAAAAGACAGATTAGATAGACAAAGCCATCTGGTTTTGATATGCTAGTGAAAGAAAATATATGTATACATTTTAAGGTAGATTTTTCTGTTAGATGATGTGTGTGTGATTGATTCTAAAAAGGTGACACCTGAAGGTACCCTCTCCGAGAGCATATTACTGGACCACATTGGTTGACCGGGAGATTTTCAAAGTCTCTAGCAGATAATTTGCTGCTGTAGTACTGTTTACTACAACCTGAACTAGGGAGAAATAAATCGGTTTAAAAAGATTAAGAAAATGGATAAAAATTATAGGCTGCTTGTTAAAAATCATTCACAACCAGTAAGTGTTTGTTATAAATAGAGGAAGGCAAGTCATGTTTTATCTAAAAGAACAGACATATTTAAGTTTGATTAGAAGAAGATAAAGATTTCTTTTAGTGTCATTCAGCTAGTATAATGAGTGTTATTGATTAAAATGTTGGAATCAATAAGGACTTAACATTGGAGTAGAGGAGACCTTAAGGAGGTGGAAAAGGTTATGGCCTGTCAAATAAGCTGACAATTAAATGCTTTGTAAAAAATTGATTTTTTTTTTTTAAGCGTGAACTGTCAACTAAACTTCTTGGCTTTCATGGGCATATGCTGTTCTACAGCATGTGACAGCATATAAAACTGCAACTACATATTATTATCAGGCTCATACACTAAATGTTTGTGAACATACTACCAAAAGCTAATTGTAAAACTTTAGCCCATCTGAATATGTTATTAATGCTGTGTAAAGAGGTCATTTAACAGCCAATGAAACTTAACATGTTTCTCCTTAGAATCCAATCGTGTATAATAAGGCAGTAACTCATCAGGTTCTTTCTAAAATGTCAGCAATAATGTTTTAAGCCCCTTACTCTTTTTATTAATTCATCAGTATCAAAATCTAGCAGATGTATTGGATTTCTATAGTTCAGTCTCTTAACCAAAGATAAGTGAGCTAGATATTCCTCACAGAGAAGCAATTGCATAGTAGACCTTTCATTTGTAAGGAAACACTGAACAGATCTAGAAAAATACACGTGTCAAAAAAAAAAAACACCAACAAAATACAGGAATGTAAATGCAAAAATGGAAAAAAGACCCTCCAAATATCCATGAATTGAAAAGTGCAGTAAAAGAAAATCTGCGCATGAATTTTACGAAAATTCAGAGACCAGCACCTGAAAATGTTAACAAATATGCGTAGGTTCTCAGAGCTGCCAAAGAGAAAAACGTGAAAGGACATAAAAGGAATTCCTTAAAAGGGAAGGCAAAGGACAAAGGACAAGGAGAAAGGCACAGCAATTACTGAAATCAGGGGCTGGATTCTGAATTTTCTCCTGGTTGCTCTGGGCATCACATTCCTGACTAACTAATTATAAGTTCCTTTTGAAAATTTTACAATCTCTTATATTGGGTCCAAGAAACATACTTTAAAAAAAAAATCAACTCTGATCTTAGTGGATATTAATTTCACTGTTTACTTTTCTAAGCCTTTTGGCATAAATTAGTATAAATCTATTAACTATCATATGCAGACATGAATGAAAAATATTAGGAAGTCATTTCTTTTAAGTTACATGGCATATCAGTAAGGAATAATGTCTGATAATTAGATTTAATTATAATTTTTTTAACTTTAGGTATATAAACTCATAAACGCAGTTCATTATGAGTTTGTTAAATTTAAATACTTAGGACTCCAGTCATGTAGCTCTCTAATCTATTTTTATTTTTATTTTATTAATTTTCATTTATTTATTTATTTACTTGTTTTTAATGTTTAATTTTGAGAGAGAGAGAGAGCGCGCATTCTCATGAGTAGGGGAGGGGCAGAAAGAGAGGGAGAAGATCCCAAGCGGGCTCTGCCCTGACAGCAGAGAGTCTGATGTGGGACTCAAACTCACAAACCATGAGATCATGACCCGATCCGAAGTTAGATGCTCAACCGACAGAGCCACCCAGGCACCCCTATAATCTATTTTTAAGTAGGTGTTCTATGTAGAAAAATCAATGGTTCATTGTCCAGTTGTTTCCATTTTGGCTGGCGGTTTTGATTTTGACATTAGTCTAAGGGAAGAAAAATAATTTTCCTTCTGTCCTTCTGAGTTCTTAGCTGAGACCCCTATAATAAAATATTAATGAGAGAAAAACAAACAGTTTATTAACGTGTGTACCTTATGTATACATGGAAGATACCCAAGGAAAAATGAGTAACTCTCTGAGGAGGCAGATTTTGGGCTAGCATATTCTGTTGCTCTTCATTAGTAACCCAAAGCGTTTTGAAGTCCTTAATGGGAACTGGTGGCATTTGACTTGCTTTTGCCTTTGCACACAGGTGCACCCTGAGCGTGACACTGGAGCAGGCCATCATTCTGGCCAGAAGCCATGGACTGCCTCCTCGCTACATCATGCAGGCTACAGATGTGATGCGGAAGCAGGTAAGTCACACACAGTTTAGGGATTGTTTTACAGGACTTGGTTTTTTTTTTTTTTTACATTTTCCATGTGTATTTATTTTTGAGAGAGAGAAAGAGAGAGAGAGGAGGAGGAGCAAAGAGAGAGTGAGACACAGAATCCGAAGCAGGCTTCAGGCTCCAAGCTGTCAGCACCGAGCCCAACTCGGGGCTTGAACTCACAAACTGTGAGATCATGACCTGAGCTGAAGCCGGAAACCCAACCGACAGAGCCACCAAGGTGCCCCTACAGCACCTGGATTTGAAGGTTCCTTTTAATCAGGATTTATCAGGTTTAATGAGGATTAGTCAGCATTTATCAGGTGTCTGATTAGTGCCTGGATGTGGGGGACACTTTTTCAGGCTCAGAGAGTAAGTGTAAACAAGAAACACTCCCAGGGACGAAGGCAATACAGACATCTATATGAGGACCCTCCAAGAAACTAAGCCAACCTGGAAAAAAGGATGTGTAAGAGATAACCAGAAGGAGGAAAGGGGTTGGCCAAGTGTAATGGGCAGGAGTGGATTTGAGGCTTATGTAAGGAGCAAGGGCAAAGGCTACATGGCATTTTCTGGGCATCGCAGGTGATTTAGTAAGGCTCTGGAAATAGAATTGAGGAAGAGCGTGGGGGCAAGGAAGAAGAGGAAAGAATTGAAGGCCCTTCTTGCTCCTGGAGCTCTCAAAGTGAAGTCCAAGCCATGCTAAGAATTTGGTGCATTATTCTGAAGATAAAAGCACATATCTCAAATTTTCCTTCAGAGGATGAAGAGTAGTCTTTGGGATGTCATTAGGTCACTGAAGTATTTATAGGTGGGAATAAACTCTCATAAAGAGAATGAGCTTTTGATACAGTACCCAGTGGTATTTTAATGTGATAGTTTGGTTTCTAACGCTTAAAATTCTTTTAAAAGGTAACAAAAATGCATTAACCTCCAATTTATTATTAGGAAAATGTGCCTTATATAATAGAAAAGACACAACTTATTAGAAAGACAAGAGTTGGAAAATATCAATTTTATGTTTTATTCTGCCACAGTTTCTCAGGGTAACCACAGAAAATTGATTTAACAAATATTTATTCTTGCTGACTTGGTTTGAACTGCCCAATGATAGTAGGTGATTTAGTTTTTAAGATATGCTTTTGTAGTTAAAACTTATTTGTTTACTAAAGACTTAGTGTATAACTCTTACGCAAACGTACTAATCTCTGTGGGTTTGCTCCCAAGATATACTACAGAATGTAAAAAAAAAAAAAAAAAAAAAATCCATGGAAGCAGTCATAAGTGATACCAGCACCGGTTTGGGGTCTGTAATTCAGGAATAAAGTACAATGAATGGATATACATTGGAGCTTCGAGGTGGGAACCCTGGAGCTGGAGACTGAAAACCAAGATCTGACAAGGTCTAACAGGGATTTGCTAAGTAAAGGTGAAATCCACAAGAAGCACAGGACGTAGTATGGTTCAGCTAGAAAAGGACAACTACAGATGCAAATGCCAGCAGATTTTGGAAGGATTTTTTGGATGGATATAATACAAATTTGGTTTTAAAATGTAGACCAGAGTAAACTTGTGATTATTCATTTCAGGGTTGGGTTTGGGATGCCAAAAGTACAGAAAGGCACTAAGCATTCTGTTTCACTCTGTTACTGTTAGAAGAAGTTTGAATGAAGACTTGGAGGGGCCATCTCGAAATTATGGTTTACGGCAAGACCAGGAGACTGGTTATTAACCTGTTTTAGAATAATCTAGTACAGGAGTAATGGTGAATTCACTAGATATACATTCTTACTATATGGACTTCAGTAATCAAAAACGTTTAAGTTCTTACACGTGAGAACGGACATCTATAAACTACAGGGGGGAAAGTAAAAACCGTATTATGTAAGCCTTGGTGACTTATTTAACCAGTGCAAACCTTTTTGAGATACAATATACATGCTATATTTACATATATTATTATATGTATTATTATATATTTATAAAATGTAACTTAAGGAAACTGAAAAGTTATGAAGCTTCTTATAAAATTTCTAAACTGCAGTTTTTCAGTATTCATCACTTCTTCTATTTTTTTTTTTCAACGTTTATTTATTTTTGGGACAGAGAGAGACAGAGCATGAACGGGGGAGGGGCAGAGAGAGAGGGAGACACAGAATCGGAAACAGGCTCCAGGCTCTGAGCCATCAGCCCAGAGCCTGACGCGGGGCTCGAACTCACGGACCGCGAGATCGTGACCTGGCTGAAGTCGGACGCTTAACCGACTGCGCCACCCAGGCGCCCCCTTCTATTTTTTTAAATAAATATATTTAGAATAGGCAGCTACCCTCCTTTGTTACTGGTTTCTCTGCTGCAAATATGGCATTTCCAGGTGGATCTGAAACAAAGAACTGATTTCTGACTTCTGTATGGAAGATCAGAGAGCCTGGGGCCCTCTTTTTAGAGAAAGTGGGTTAAACTGGTGTACAAGGGGATTTTCGCAGTATTCCATCTGCTGCCCATCCTCTCTCCAGTGTCCAACTGTTACAGGCAGTGGAATTAGTGGCTGGGATCCAGTCTGCAAGCCAACTCTTACCTACCTGTGATCTAAGTAGTTAGAACACAAATGGGGATCAAAGATCTGACTTTTCTGTTCTTTTTGTTTCTCAAACATTTAGACTCAACTCTCCAGAGACTGAATGGTTGAGATGTTTGCCAGATTAATGAGTAATATTTTCTAAGATCTTTAGTTTCTTTTTTAGGGAGAAGCGCTTCAGCATGATTTATTGTATGGTTTTCATGTACAGCTTTGTATATCTATTTTTCATAGACTTGTTTAATGCTCTGGTTAGTTAGAAGGGAAGCTGAAAGATAGAGGGAAGGGTACTATGCCCCTTCCAATTTTTTTGATAATGATTATAATAATCCTAGGCAGCACTTTTACATAACCAACGATCCAATTAATACAACGTTTGAGGGAGAAGCTTTCATTTCCATGAGAAACAAAGTTTTCTATCCTACAAATTATACATTCCACGTATTATTGGGTGGAAGACCGCCTCGATTTTTTTTTAAATAAAACTGGAATTTCAGAGTTCTGTCTCCTTACCTACAATATCAGGACATTATACCGGGCACAGTAACAAAGGCTGAAGAAGATGTGATTCTTCCCCCATCTTATGGTGGCCGTACATAGGCAGATCATCATGATACAGGTACCAATAGACAAGTGGTATACAACCTCAGTGTTTTCAGACATAAGACAGGGAATAAATAAGTGGGTAAACTGTGAGCCTCTCAGTGGCTGGGACACTGAGTATAGTTTGTTCTGGTGGGCATAGGTTTCCAGAAGAGTACCTGGCAGAGAGTAAATGCTAAATGGCGTGTGTTCAATAGTTCAATGGTTCAGTAGTTCTAACTGGGATAACCAGAAAGAGGCTTCATGCAGAAAGTGATACCATGATAGTGATTTAAAAGCGTAGATTCTTGAGCCAGGCAACCTAAGTTTGAATCCCAACTCCAGTGTTTACCATGTGTATCATTTGGGACAAGATTCTAAGTCTCTCTGTTACTTAGTTTCCTCATTATTAAAACAAAGATTTTAATAGTACTTGCCTCGTAGTGTTGCGAGGATATACTCAATGCACTTAAAACAATACCTGATATAGTGAATGACCGATTAGTTATTAGCCAAGATGATATTTGATTTGAGCCTGGGAAGATAAATGGGAGTGGACAGGTAGGGAAGAGGAGAGAGGAGGTCCTTGGGTAGAGGAAACAACGTAAACAAGGGTGGAAAAGTGCAAGTACCTGGCATGTTGACTATATGAAGAATTATATAGTTGAATTCACTGTGGAATACACCAACAGTTGTGTTCAGCATGATGAACATCAGTGTGATTTGTAACCTTTGAAGAAAGCAAAAGCCTTTCTACAGACTACTCAGTGGAATATTATGAGACTAAAGACAAAAGTAATTATACACAAACACTATAGCCTAGTAAATCTATTTCTCACAGGGATATGATTTAGAATTTCTAAAACTAGCTTATCTGTATACTAGGTTTGAAGAGATAAGTAAATATATTGTAAGTAATGAGAATAAAGTTTCTTACTGTCAGAAAAGGAAGTTACAAATAGGGAAAGGGAGAAGGCTATAATCCAGAACAAATCCTGTGGTGTGGATTGGGATCAGAGGTAGCAATTTGAACTGATGGATACACACACACACGCACGCACGCAAGCACATGCACGCATTTAGAAATAAATATAGATGTTTGAGTATGTTTGCCATTAGTTAAATAGCTGTCTACTCAGACGACCTAGAAGCAGTTACATGCCAATAGTAGCAGTGAGCATACCCAGTGTCCAGATCTTGGGTTCCAAATATAATTCTCCATTGAAAAGAGCCACAGTGCTTGGAGAAGTGGTTAATCTCCACAACATAATTATTAACTACAAAAAGAAAAGAAGTAACTTTACAGTGGAAAAATCTGGCAGACACCGCTTGAACCGAGTGATGACAGTTACTGTCACTGATAAGATGTAGAGAAGTCATGTGATATGGTGATGGTCAACATCAATGGTCTCATGCACTGAGGAGGCACAGAGTCACTCTTGTCCAAAATGCATGTCTTCTATCTGATCGTTAGGAAACAGCTGACAAACCCAAACTGAGAAATATTCTCCAAAATAGTGACCAGTACTTATCAAAAGTATTAAGGTCATAAAAGACAAATCAAATCCAAGGAAATGCCATGGATCAGAGGGCCAAGGGGACAAGAAAACAAAATGTAGTATGGGATCCTGGGTTGGATCCTGGAATAGAATCAGGACACAAGGGGGAAATGGTGAAATTTGATTAAGACTTACAGCATTATATGAACACTGATTCCCTGGTTTTGACCATCATATTCTGGTCAAGTGAAGGGTGAGCATTAGAGAGAGTTTACATAGCTGAGTTAAGTATGTGAACTTTCTGTTCTGGTGTTACAACTTTTCTCTAAGTCTAAAACTACTCCAAAATGAGTTATTTTTTAACTGCTTAATTATAATTCCTAAATTCCTTCCCATCTGTCTTTTTGCCACCCCCACCCCTTTTCCCTATTTGCTTTCCTTTATTTGGTCCATCTTGAGAGGATATATTCTTTTGTTTTCCTTTCTTCCTTTTCTCCTTTTCTTTTTTTTTTTTTTTTTTCAACGTTTATTTATTTTTGGGACAGAGAGAGACAGAGCATGAACGGGAGAGGGGCAGAGAGAGGGAGACACAGAATCGGAAACAGGCTCCAGGCTCTGAGCCATCAGCCCAAAGCCCGACGCGGGGCTCGAACTCCCGGACCGCGAGATCGTGACCTGGCTGAAGTCGGACGCTTAACCGACTGCGCCACCCAGGCGCCCCAACCTTTTCTCCTTTTCTTTCTTCCCTTCCCTTCCGGTAGTTCAGAATTTGGTAGCAGGAAAGAGAGTTTCAGAGATTTTGTATTTCTTTATTTTATTTTTTAAGTTTATTTATTTATTTCGAGAGAGAGAGCACAAACAGGGGAGGGGCAGAGAGAGGCAGAGAATCCCAAGCAGGCTCTGCACCATCAACACAGAGCTCAACACGGGGCTCAAACTCCCAAACCGTGAGATCGTGACCTGAGCTGAAACCAGTCAGAAACTTAACCAAGCCACTGAGATGCCCTAGAGTTTCTTTAAAACCACTCTCCTTCAACTGTTCTCAGCCCCAAACCCTGGTGTTTAGTTCTATGTAGTAACTAATTCCCATTAGGAACTAACAATGATTATATTCATTCATGAACTTGACAAGTTGTGAAGACTTTTTCATTGCTAAAGTGCATTGCCTTTGTACTATAAAGTTTGGGGCAGAATTCTTACATTTCAGAGATCCACACACACATGCCTTGTCCAGAATTGCTTTAGAACTATTTAAGAAAATATTTTCTTGATAAATACTATGAGCTTTAAAATAGCTGATTATTCAGCTAAGGATAAAACAGGTTTGTGAGTGCGGTAGAACTGTGATTTTCTGTTCCACAAAAGTGAGGACACAGCACATATTTGTAGCCTTCTCGTTTCTTATTTTCAACATCTAAAGTATTGCTTGCTTCTAGGAATAAAGACATAGATGAGATAGTGAACAGGAAGCTGTGATTTAAGTTTATTTTGAATGATTTAGGTAGCTATTGAAATAAATATCAACCCTTTGGAAAAATATGTCAGCATATTTTGATACTTAAAGCATTAGTTTTGAAAATGCTCAGATGATAATTTTTCTCTTCTGCTTCACCTCATCTCTCTTGATGTTATATACATTGTTGGAATAAATATTCTACACTCAAATGTTCATGGTATGCTAAATAATTACTAATACAATGTAGAGCTAAAAATGATTTTCCCTACTTCTCTCAGGGAGCAAGAGTTCAGAACACAGCAAAGAATTTGGGAATCAGAGACAGAACCCCACAGTCTGCTCCAAGGTAAGTGACTCCCCAGGTTTGCTCTTTCCCAAAGGGCTTACCGCCACTTCCAAGGCAGTGTCACTTACATCTAATGCACCTGCCACAGTACATGCCTAGTGAAGTACTGAATATAATCATGGAAATTGGCCTCGTAAACACTCTGTGGCTAAATGTGACTAGTCATAAGTGGTCTCTGAATTCAATGAAATTTTAAGGGAAGCAAACTTAGAGGTAGCAGGTAGAAGTCTTGACATTATTCTGTTTTCCACGTTCCATCATGAATTCAAAGACAAAAGTCCACACAGGTACTACTAATATTTGTAACCCAAGTGTACCGAACTACCAAAATGCCATTTTCATTTATTTTTCTCTGCCTGACATGCTGTTCCCTCTGGCATGATTGCTTTTCCCATCTGTGTCTGTATGGAAAACTCCTACTTACCCACAAAACCCTTTGTGTCCTTTTCTCAATGCCCTCTTCTCTTTGAAGTCTTGGCTGAGTTTTCTTCCTCTTTGTGCTCCCTTAGCATCTTGTGTATTGGTCTTTTACAGCTCTTTTATAGCTCTGTGTTACAATATATTGTTCCATATCTCCTCACCCAACCTGAATGTGGATTCTCTGGAGGCAGAGAATATGTTTTTTGGATTTTATTCCTGGCTGATCATAGTGCTGTACAGTAGACATTGAATATCTGAACTGATTTCAAGAACGTGCGAATGAACAAATGAATGAATGAGCTTTTTGTTTGTGATCATATCAAATATTCACAGTTCACATATCATAACAAGAAAAGACTCTAGGGGCACCTGGGTGGCTCAGTTGGTTGAGCGTCTGACTTCAGCTCAGGTCATGATCTCACAGTTCATGGGTTCAAGCCCCGCATCATTGAGCTCACTGCTCTCAGTGCAGAGGCCGCTTCCGATCCTCCCTCCTCTCTCTCTGCCCCTTTCCTGCTCATGTTCTCTCTCTGTCAAAAATTTAAATTTTTTTTTTAACTTAAAAAAAGAAAGGACTCTAATTCACCTTTAGAATAAATGAACATGGAGACGGCCATCAAAGAAATGTTAATTTCATTTCCCTGGTGACAATAAGGTAAGCAGCCATCTATCTTGAAGTGGGGCAAAATTAAATAATCTCTTACATTTGATTGTTTTTATACGTTGGCATTTTAACAAAAAGGAGACTCCTCCAGGCACTGTCACAGACAAGACACTTTCGTTTTCTATTTACAAAGCAGTTACTAGAGTGAGAATGATGACAGCAGCATTTATGAAGTTATATTTCATCCTAAAAAACTCTGTGGGCAGTAGAAGTACTTTCACAAGGGAAAACATATTTTCCCCCTGAAAATGGATGGATCACTCATGTTCTAATTGTGTTTATTTTTAGTGCTGGCTCCTAACTTATTTAATCCTCAAGTCTTGTTAATGTTATCTTTCATAGTTGATTAAGTTAGAAAGACTGTCCCTAAGGAGTCATTTCACATAGGCATTCTCTCTCTGGCACCTTGAGCCGACGTGGTATATTGTGATAACGGACCCAGTGAAGTGTTAAAATTCCAATAAGAAAACAAGATAATGGTTTAGCAAGGTCTTCATAGCTAGAGCTTATAAACACTAATAAACAGAAGGGTTAAGATAAGACTTCAGCATCCTGATCAATAAACCAATATGCAAGCGGAATACAAGAAAAGAAACTGATGGACTCACTTTTTTCTTTATTGTATTGTGTTTTAAAACTCTTGAACTGAAACACAATAAAATGTGCCAGCTGTAAAGTTGACATTTTTATAAGAGAATAATAATCCCCAAAGAGAAATCTAAAGTAATTTTTAATTTAATCCTATTTATTCTTTCACTCACTCTATAAATATTTATTGAGGACTTAAGAAATGCAGGGGCGCCTGGATGGCGCAGTCGGTTAAGCGTCCGACTTCAGCCAGGTCACGATCTCGCGGTCCGGGAGTTCGAGCCCCGCGTCGGGCTCTGGGCTGATGGCTCAGAGCCTGGAGCCTGTTTCCGATTCTGTGTCTCCCTCTCTCTCTGCCCCTCCCCCATTCATGCTCTGTCTCTCTCTGTCCCAAAAATAAATAAACGTTGAAAAAAAAAAATTAAATGGAGATACAAAGAAAATATAGCACATGGAATCCATGTTAGACAGTTACACAGTTTAGAAAAAAAAAAAAAAAGAAATGCAAAGCACCCTGCTCTGCTTCATGGAGGGTAGAAACATGAGATGGAAATAGAACCATCCCTCAAGGACCTTTCAGTTAAAGAGATGAGATGAGAAAACATAACTGGAAGGAAAGGTAGAATATAAGAAGCACTGTGTGAGGGGTGGGATCCCGCCCAGCTGGGCACCAGGGTTCCTGTCCCAGAGACAACAAATTTAAGAACAATTTGCTAGAAGAAGAATATTCTAGGATGACACCAAATCTTTGGGTTGGAAGACAATGGGCAAGGTGACATTGGGACTAAGGATCAATGGGACACCCAAATGGAGATGGCTTTGTGGGCAATACAGTGTTCTTCCTCCTAACTTTCATACATTGGATCTTCAGATTAATCAACTTATCTTCATCATGAACCAAATATTACCTTTCAGATACAAAGGTACACTGGTCTTATTTTCTATTAGATCACAAAACCTGGGAACTATTGTGCTACAATAGCTTGATTTATTTTATTTGTTTAATTGTGAAGCAGCATACTGAAGTGGTTACACGTGAAAAACATGATTTTGAGTCCCAGCTCCTGCTTGATGACCTTATTTAGTCAGATAACTTATTTTCTCTGAGACAGTTTTCTCATCTTTAAGATAGGGAGAATTGCCTTGGGACAGATTATTATTGACACTGTAGCCTTGAAAATGTCTCTTTTGCCATGTAGAAGGATGAAGGGCATGATCTGTAGGTTGAAGTTTCAAAGTTTTACTCTCAGCAGATTTGGATTTGGGCTGGAAATACCAGCTCCAAGATGGCTGCCTGAGCCCAAACAGGAAAAGAAGAAAGTGGAGCCAGGAACAAACCTTTTCGTGCAGGGGCACTGGTGTGCATGGGTGGAATGAAACTATGACAAGGGCCCCAAGGTGTTGGGCAAACCAAGGCCTTCTGTTACCTAACAATTTAGCTGACAAAAAAACAAATGCCTCAGTGCAAGGTAAAAGCCCAACTCTTAACTATTACATTTTACTTCCCAACTCTATCTGTCTGTTCTAAATTCCCAAAGCCCCACGATTTCCATTACAAATGTGTCTGAACTCAAATAACCCTGAGTCACTTCCAAGAAGCCTCACAGAAGCTGAATCTGCCCAGTTCTGCAGTATCCAGAGCTATTATTTCATTAGGTGATCACACGGAGTAGCCTTTTGCCAATTTGCAAGGCAGACATTTCAAAGACTTGCCTACACAGTGGCATTAGTTCCATTATGTGGAAACGTGCAGTGCAAGGTAATGGAATGTGATGGCTCAGCCCAGATCTCACGGGGTAGGACATTTGCTACCCAGCTTACTGTTTGTGTTCTACCTGAGTAAGGCCACTGCCTTTCCCTTCATTAGGCAGTGCTGTAAGGAAAATGAAAGGATCAAAATTAAAGAGGAAAAGAACTTTCCGATCATTCCATTATTCCGGCACTGGGAATGCATTTTGAAGCAAAACTGTAGTTTTTTACTGCAAAGGCAGCTTTGAACTATATCAGCTCAATTTAATGTATTCTTTTCTCTGGGAAAGATGAAATAAGCTTTTCTGATGTGAGATGTCCTTATTTCAGTATTCATTTTCTTCCATGGAGATTACATGAAGAGCATTAAGCACCTTTCAGACTTGAATAATCTCCAAAGGCAGTAACTTTTTCCTGTGTGTTTCCAGACTGGGAAAGTTTATGTTGTTAACTAGGTTTCTAACTCAATATTCAAACTTTGTCATTCTTTTCCCCTTTGATTTAGAATTAGCATGGGATTAAATGTTGAAGGAGAAGGAAACATAATTCGCTAAGTTTGTCAACAACTCCTGTAAACTGTGTTCAATTTAATTTGTATAAGAAGGGAATCACCATGCTACCCCTATCCCTGAGTTTGGAGTACTTTTGAAAAGGAGCAAAGTTGAAAAATGTACTTAATGTTATATTTTAGGGTTGGTTTTTTTTTTTAATTTTTTTAATGTTTATCTTTGAGACAGAGAGAGAGAGTGCGCACAGCTTGCCAGGGGAGGAGCAGAGAGAGAGAGAGAGAGAGACAGAATCCGAAGTAGGCTCCAGGCTCTGAGCTGTCAGCACAGAGCCCGATGCAGGGCTCGAACTCACAAACTGAGAGATTATGACCTGAGCCGAAGTTGGACACTTAACCGACTGAGCCACCCAGGCGCCCCTGTACTTAATATTTTTAGATCACGGATGAGGCTCTCAAGTAGGGCCAGCATGGCCATGGAGCTATTGGGACTGTGAGTATATGTAGTCTAACATCTAGCCACCTCAGTCAGCTATCTTCTCTCAGACTGTGCTTTTAATAATGAGTGTGCCCTGTCTGGTCACTGTGGCTGTCTTGCAGCTATTTTATTTAAATATTGAGAGAGAGAGAGAGAGAGAGAGAGAGAGAGAGAGAGAGAGAGAGAGAAGACAGGCAGAGAGAGAGGGAGGGAGAGAAGTCCAAGCAGGCTCTGTGAGGTCAGTGCAGATCCTGGCATGGGGCTGGTACCCACCAACTGTGAGATCATGACCTGAGCCGAAACCAAGAGTCAGGGGCTGAACCGACTAAGCCCCCCAGGTGTCCCTGTCTTGGCAGATATTACGTTCCCCTTAATTTGGTTCTGGAGTTAGGATATTCTGGAGAATGTGGAGCTCTGGAGCTTGTACAATCCTAATTCAGTCCCCCGAGCTTTGCCTCAAGACACCCAGACCTGGGATGTCAAGAGGGAGCCCTTCTTGGTATCTCCACTAGTTCAAGTAGATTCCTTGAGCCACTTGAATCTCCACTTGATTCTGCTGGCAGATGAATGGAACAGTGGGCGGAGATGGGCAGATATTCCCGAGGAAACACCGGATAATTGTGCCTTTGAGATTCAGGCCTCAGGACTCTGCCACATCAGCCTATTCGTAACTGACTGCACCCAAGACATGGTACAGAATGAAACAAATTTCGAAAACTAGTCAGGAAACCAGTAGACCCCTATGAGAAGGTGCTATTTTGCTACAAATTAATCATGATAGACAAGATGGTAATTATCACTATAGTATCATCTCCTAGAACTCAGAGAAACAGTTTTGCTGCCAGCAAGGTGAACAGTCAGGGCAGGCAGCACTGGAGCAGAAGCAGCTGGTGTGGGAAAGATGACATTGCGTAATCAGTAGTCGTCTCCACTTATACAGAGACATTGGTGTTTTCTGAACACTAGAACTGAAGTTTTGGAGTTTGCTAATTCATAAGTAATTTTTAGTAAAATAGGCAATATGATCATGGCTCCTGAACCAGGAACTTATTGTCAATATATTTTTTGTACCAGTAGAAACATCTCAGGTAATGGCAATATGCCAGGCTGCTGTCACACTCTTTCCTGCCTTTCCTAGGCTATACAAGCTGTGCGAGCCGCCTCCCCCTGTTGGAGAAGAATGAGGAGAATCCCCAAGGAACCAGGCAAGCAGAAGCTTCTGAACACTAGACAAAAGACATGCTGGCTAAACATTCTTCATTCAATATAAATAAATGAAATTTTTTTCTCTAGCTCCTTCCCCATGGAGTAAATAACCAATGTTCTTCTTGTACGTGGATACTTGTGCCAGAAATGGATGAGAGATCACTCAGACCACCTGTAGCTTCACAAACTAATCTGTCTATGTATTGACACTATTCATTTTTAGGGTAAATTTTGTCCTTGGAATTTATGAAAAAAAAAAAACAACAGGTAAACAATGAACCATTGTGCCTCCTCTCCCATTAGTTAGAATTATTTCATTGTGTTTGTTTTCATCTTCTCTGAATGGAATCATGTGATAATGGATAATTCCACTTGAAGAAGTCTTTCACTGAAGAAAGATGGACACACTTTTCAAATCATCATACAGAAATGTTACAGACCACATAGACTGGGTGTTATTGTAGGCATTCGGTCCCCTACCTGCATCAGAGAAAGTATGATTTGTGAATGGTGAAGAGCATGCTTGACTCTTTTTCCTACGGGTTTATTTCTCAGTAACAGAGAAGAGAGCTGAATGGGGCTTCTACCAAGACTTTCTTCCCACTGCTTGTGGTGGGAAGCACTGCTTTGTGCTCGTGGACAGTTCCAGCAAGTGGGTGCTGTCATTGGTCTCTGAAATGGCATGGCTTCCTAGGGCCACGTGTACTGGTGCTGTGCCACAGGTGGCCAGGGGGTGGAGAGGGGTGGAGTGGGGTGGAGATCAGGGAGGTACGGGAGGGGAGAGTGGGGTAAAGGAGGAAATTTAAGTCCATTTAAAAAGTCAAATTTTAACTTAGAAAGATACCTAAAATTCTTACTTTTATTAAGACTTCCATATGAGATGTGAGACTCTGAAGAGAATACACCGTGCTGAGTATTTTTCTATCAAGGTATGTGTACAACAGTGAAAATAAAGCATTATTTGTTGAACTGTACAAGGACTATTAGAGACCTTGATAATGTATGGAAGCACAAGGTGTATTCTATTTTCATTCCAAAATACACGTCATTTTTATCATTTCTATGTTGATTAAATAATATTGTTTTTTAGTGTAATGAATACAGTAATATTGATTTTGAATCTATAATTTTCAAAACAGTTAAAACACCCTTCCTGTGATTGTGATGAGTATATGGATTTGGACTAATTTAGTATGTGAAATGCTTTTCATAACTAAGGTATATACAGATGATTATTACATTTTAATTTATGACATTTGATAATGATTTTCAGATGATCATTAAAAATCTTCACTGCCATCAATTGTGTATTGAATAACAAAAATTCTGTGTTATACATATACCAGTTATTCATACACTGGTCAAGCTGATAAAAATTGTTCTTTGGCACAGAAGCACTTAAAATTTTTGCAATAAGTCCTTATATATAATAAGAGATAAACTCAAAGTTTTCAAAGGAAACATTGAACACTTTGAATTTAATGAAGATATTACCTTAACACAAATACCTATATTAAGTATATCTTAACTTTCAGGGATTTAACATTCTTGATATTATTATCAACTGATCCTGAAGGTCCATGACATTAGTATTTTGCGATTTTCCTGTACTGAAAAACTGATTACTTTCATTGTGACTAGTGAGTGAGCAAAACTGATCAACTATCAAGTATTTTTCATATTGTCTTTACTGTTTTCTAGTCACCATCCTAGAAGCCTTATTTCTCATTAGAAGGATAAAGGGGTCACTTCAACACTTCAGTCATACTTTGCTATGTTTCATGGAGGAAATTATCTGCAATTATAGTATGTATAAAATAGCATATTTTTAAGGGTCTATTCTCTATATAGTAGGATGTGCTTAATATTTTAAGGCTTAAATGTAGTGTAAGTGTACCAACCTTCAGAGTGCTTGGTACTTCTTGAATGCTCCAAAGTTAGTAATGATTTCTATTCTCATCAGTCCCTGTCATTTTTTATTACAATAAAAATTGTAGCTAACATTTAAGTAGTTACTATGTGCCAAGCGGTACCTCCAAGTGCTTTATCCCTATTTGTTGTTACTGTTTCACTAATCCTCACAAAGACTGGGATGGTGTCTTTTCATCATCCCCATTTCACAGTTGAGGAACTGAAGCAAAGAAGGGCCCAGTGACTCGTCCAAGACCACAGGACTGACAAGTGACAAAAGTAGGATTTAAATCCAGGAAGTCTGCCTTCTTAATGCATTACGCTGCTTCTCCATATTCACATAAGAACTGTTGTACTATTACCCATTATTTGTTAGTAAAGTTGTGACATGTGTTGCCATTAAGTTATACATTTTATATTGAGTAAAAAATGAATGGAAACATATAAAATGTCTTTAATATGTGAAAATCATAAGATTTCCTAGGCATTTTACCATTCTGGATACACATTTTGAGGCAATGCAGTGCTGTTGCAGTCTGAAAAAATAGATTCCTCATAATTGAAGGTAACAACTTTAGGTATGTTTTGAAATTCTAGAAAAGTATACCATATAAAATTTGACTACGATTCCAAAACAGTGGTAGCAGTAAAAAAGAAAATGTCCAATGAATGAATGGATAAAGATGATTTTTCAATATCATAATGTGCTTCCACATGACACTGGACACTTAACTGGCCATGAGTTTTTAGAATGAATTTACCTAAATGCTCACATACTCCTCTAGAACTCCTTGAAATGTTGCTAAAGCCCTACCAACAGTTCTTCCAAGTTCTGAGTTTGGACATTTGCTTCTCTTCACCTAAAGGGGAAGGTCATGCATAGAAATTTTGGTTCTTAACGTGGGATCTAAGTCAAAAATAATTGCTAACTAGTAATCCATAGTCAATACATCTTAAATATTCCATGATATCTTATAAAGTTATCTAATATAAAACATAACAAAACTTAATATAATGTTAACAGAATGAGCAATTTGAAGAGACTAGAATTTTCCATCTATTTCCATTATTGTTTAACAAGAAACAAAGAAACAAAGAAGAATTCCTGCACTAGCTTTACTTCTATTGGATATATAAAGTTGAATTTAGGAGGTAAGCTTTATTTTATGTACTAATATTCTAATCGTAGAAGTCTCACACTATGTTCTGTCTCTCTCTCTTTTTTTTTTTTAAGGTTTATTTATTTGTTTCGAGAGAAAGTGAAAGAGAGAGCAATCAGGAGAGGGGCAGAGATAGAGGGAGAGAGAATCCCAAGCAGTCTCTGTGCTGTCAGGGCAGAGGCTGACGCGGGGCTCGATCCCAAACCATGAGATCATGATCTGAGCCGAAGTCAAATGCTTGACTGACTGAGCCACCCAGGCGCCCCTATTTTCTGTCTCTTTAAATCATATTCTTCCAGTGACCTAGCTTCCCTATGCATTCAGTGGTCACTCTTCTTGTAGTAACAATGTTTAATTTAAAATTAGGCTAATATCTTATGACACTATAATATATATGAGATTACAATGATACTCATTCTGACTCTATTGATTTAAATTTTATGATAGTTAACTAAGTTCAGAATGAGATGAAATTAATGTTGGTACTAACTATAAAAACCAAGAAAATAAATAGTTAAAAACAAAATCCTGAGGGACATATTAACTAATTAAAAAAAATAAAATAAACTATTTGGGGCACCTGGCTGGCTCAGTCAGTGGAACATGTGACTCTTGATCTCAAGGTTGTGAGTTCAAGACCCACGTTGGGTGTAGAGATTACTTAAAAAATAAAATCTGTAAAAAAAATAACAAACCCAAAAACAAAGAAAAGAAACTATTTTCAACCCTCTGAACATATACATTTTATAGAAAAAATAATATTTAGTGACATGGAAGCTTTTAGTTGAGAGTTAGTTACTCTATATATTTGACAATAATGCATTTGTATGTAAAGTACTAAAGTATTCCTTCATTAGTTCATATAGATCTTTTCCCATGTAGCATGAGTTAAGACAGATTACAGGGCGTATTTTTACTCACTTGTATTAAAAAAAATAATACTGAAGTTTAAAATAGATATCAATACTTTAAGTCATTTTACTTTACATTTTACTTTAAAGGACATATTTAGATTTTTTTCACTAGTGGTATTTACTAATATTGAAACTAATGTTTGGTATGTGACTAAATTGCTTCTGAATTTTTGGAAACTGTGTTTGATTCTTAAAGACTTATTTTTAAGTGGGTTAACATAGTAAAATTATACTTCCCCAAAGCCAGTGGTAGTTATTCATTAACGTGTTTGTATATACTTGTGTTTGTGTTGAATTTGCTGAATGAATAGTCAGTTGTTCTGCTTAAGTATAAAGGCAAAAGCTTTTGAAATAGTTTCGAATAATCTAAACTCCAATTAATAAAAAGATTCTGTACTCTATCAGAGTTTTGAGGTTTTAATGATAAGCCTCAGAAAAAAATTCACCCTACATGAAACAAAAGAGGTGGGGAAAAGTCATGAGAGGAATCTGGGCCCAAAATGGGCCCAGGCTAATTCCTTTAACATATAGTGGTCACCGTCTTCCTAGGTGCTGCAGTTCTGTAATTGTCATTACAGTTAGTCTTTGCTTTAAAAATTTTTTTTTACTACTTCGAGCCTTTGCCTTTAACAATGATCTCAGCATTCATATGGCCACATTGCATGCATGGAAGACTGTACAAGTATGGCCTGTGCATGCCGTAGCTGTTGTCCCATAGACACTTGGCCTACTTCACTCAGGATAGCCTGCTTCTCTCACTGAGAAGAGACATCTGAAGTCTACGAAGATAGATGTAGAGATACCTGTATCTCTGTATACATTTTTATAGACATATATATTTGCTTTTTGTTTTTATGATAATACATTATAGAAGTGACTTAGATTCTCATGTCTTGTTTTGGATGAAGATATGAAATACGGGGTTGTTTAATATATTGAATATTTGTTCTGTAGGCATCAGGTTTGTCGAAATACACAGGAAACATGCCTGGTAGGCCATCTTTTGACCACTGACAGTAGTGTTCTACTCGATCTGGAGTCAATTTACCTGACTTTGCCATCCAGAAGAAGTAGCTGGTTAAGAATAAAATTATTGAATTTTCAAATGATATTTCTACCAGAAATAGAAAGCTTTGGATACTTTCGAGTGCAGATAACAGAATAAATGTCATCCGTGTACTCATTCCACAAATATGTTTGAGAATTCACTTTGTATGAGGCACAGCCAGTGGGCCTTTTTTGTGTGTGGGATGTGTTTGGTTTGAAAACTTTCACATTATCTCTTTTGTGTTAATGGACACTTGTGTCTTTTACGTGAGATGACATTATTTGTAATTCAAACCTATTCTAATACCTTATAGGTATATATACTGTAAGAATTCAAGAGTACTAAGTTGGTAAAATGCTTTAGAAAATATACATTTAAATTTGAATATCTAATGCCGCAAGCAAATTTATTAGAGTTTCAGATGAATATGTATTTTTGTAACTGCCAAGTAAATGAGTAGATCATAGCTTTTGCTTAAAAAATATTTTTATAAGTATTCAGTTGATAGTTGCTTTATGTATTTGAATATAATTTACATTTCATTATTTTAAATAGTAAAGTATTTTACTGTTTTAAATAGTAAAATATCAAATTTGTTCCATAAACAGTAATTCTTTTGAATATATTCATATTTAACATTGTATAACCTCCAAAATGCAATGATATATTTCACCTGAGTGTATTATTTTAAGAGTCAATTTTTCCTTTGTAAAAGATACATGTAACATAGTTTCAATCATTCAATATTTTGTGAATGGTTAAAATGACCAGTGTCTTATGTATTTCATATCATCTAATTTTGTGTGGAAGACTAGAATAGTAGCATTGTGTTATTAGTGTCAATAATAAAGTAAAATGTAGTATGACCATTTTAGCTACTTTCCATTTAAATTTAGTAAACGAATTATGTTTTTACCTGTTTGGGAGACAAAAATCCATGGAAACACAGATTTTTACCCCTTAGGAGCTCACAAGCTCCATAGGAGAAACTTGATACACATATGAACAAATCTACAAATATGAGCCAGCGTAAGTTATAGAGGCAGTAATTTACCAGAGGAGGACAGGAAAAGAAGTTTAATATGGGCCACAGCATAGGAGGGCTTCATGGAGATACAAGACTTGTGCTATTTCTAGAATTAAGTAGCCAATCTTCCAAGATTTATTCAGTACATACTATGTACAAGCCCCTGTCCTAGTTGCTGAGGGTGTTACAAATGCATATAATTCCCAAATTCTACAGTTAAAAGAATTTGGTATGTCTATTTTATAACAATGATAGAGAATTACAGGGGCACCTGGCTGGCTTAGTCAGTAAAACATGGAACTCTTGATCTCAGGGTTGGGAGTTTGGGCCCCACGGTGAGTGTGGAACCTATATAAAATACATGTGTGTGTGTGTGTGTGTGTGTGTGTGTGTGTGTGTGTGTGTGGAATCCCAGTGAGGAATTTGAAAAATATGTATGTTGTTGACTGCATAGGTAACCTCAGAAAAGTAAAAAAAAATAATCATTGAAGGAAACAAAAATCAATAACTAGATTTTCCTTTTTTGGAGATCGCTGGTGTTCCCCAAGTTTGCAAAACTTAACACAGTCATAAGAAAATGGAACCTGCAAGCACAGCCTATTTGTTTTAGAACAGCATTTCAGATATTGGTGTTCTAGAGATGCTATTGAGACATACACAAAATATTTTGTGGTCAAAATAAGGTTAAGAAACACAGAATTAAACAGGCGTTTTCATCATAGGATTTCTCTCACCTTTTAATGTACCTTTTAATCATGACTTTAGAGGAGAGAGGTGTAATGCTATGTTTTCCAAACTTACTAGAGGGTAGGACATATTTCATAAAAGATTTGTTGATATTTCCTTGGGACACATATATTCAGCAAAGTGCGATATGGTAAAACTATTCTAGAAATTTCATGGTAACCTGAAGAGGAAAAAAGGTGAATACATTAATAGGAGATAATGTAG